AGAAGACTGTGATTTTAAACCGCCCCTAAACATTACTGAGTAAAATTGTCACCTTTTCCAGTTGCATAATCTTTTAGCATTATGCATGTTCCCATATTGAATCAGCGCTTTCAAAGTGATGGCAGCAAACAGAAAAGCTTGCAATTGTGAGTTCTCAAAATTGATGAACCCACTTGCATATTATTGAGAATCTTCAATGCGTCCTCTCTGTTCGGCTTCGGTCGGTTGGGCTTAATCGTTTAAGGATTTTCACAGTCACGAATTTTCCTATTTTGCGTGCCGTTTCCTTGTTGTCTTAAGCATGCTAAACATTCAAATAAAACTTGGCTAAACTTGCTTGAGCTCAGGCAAAGCCCAAGCATTTATGAAAACATTGGAAACTGATGTTGCGAAGTTCAGGAATTAATTTGCCAGGCAACATGTTGAACATTCACGTTGAACGACATTACAAAAAAACCCTCAACACTTCCAGAGGGATGGTGGCAATTTTCAACCACCCTGTTTATTTTCTGTGGCAATTAAAAATAGCTTTGCGTGCTTTCCGTTATCGGAATGGCATTTTTCTAACTTCAGGCAACAGGAGGATTTATAGCGGACGATTTTCACTTATTCCGAATTATTCCAAGCTGCTGACATCTGCTATATATTCGGGTGCGAATTTCAGATTCTGTAAGTCCGTAAAATACCTCAGGATCGGAATTATTCATTGAATCCAGAAGGAAAGCCATTAACGGTGCTTCTTTGGATTACCTCCCGCCTTTATTGAATAAGTGGCAGCGCTTACAGCAAGCACATTTGATTTTTCTCAACCTTAACTCAAGCAGCAAAGTTCTTACTTCCTTATTATCTGACTTCCTTAGCGACACATGTTTTCAATTTGTGCTCATTTTCTGAGCCAACTTTGTCGGTGCAAAGCTTCATTAAAGGCCCGACGGAATCGATATGAGTTATCTCATTGCAACCTCAAAACTGTAAGCTATTCATGGACAAAGTTTGGAAAGCTCGCGAATACAATAAGGCCGGCTTCAGCGAATTTAACACCGAGAATGCCATCGATCAAAAAGTGTCATTTGGGGAATTTCCGAGAAATTTATTAGGTGTCCACATTTTAGATGCGGAAAAAATGAGGGTCCAATGTTCGGCCCTTTTCAGTGAAAATAATTGGGTACATTGACGCAACGCGGCGAGTGACGAGTGGTTGAGTTCACATTTCTGCAAAATAAGCCCACATAGAGCAGTTGCAAAGGTTAATTGTGCCCTAATTGGGACTGCAAAACATCTCTAATTAATTCCAGAGCGATTTAGACCAAAGTGGATGGCTATTTACAGGGGATTTAACCTAAAACTAATCGCCAATTGAAGCTCAATCCCAACATCATCAATCAATAGTTGGTCATCTCGCCATTGGGTTCGAATGGCCAGTTTGTCTATTTGTTTAGAGATTATGCCTTTTCGAGTGCTTGCTTTGCAGTGTTCTGGTCGAAAGCAGTCAAACTTGCGTTTATGGGATATTTTTGCCATCCAAAACACTGCAAACGGGAGCACGAAGTAAACTGACCAACGCTAGTTACAAATAAATAAACCTTATCTTAGTGCAGATTGTGCTTTCCAGACAAATAGCTATATTTCACCAGACAGCAAATAAACAAAGAAATCCTCTGTTCCTTTCCTTTGTCGCCACTACTTTGCATAGAAAAATATATGGAAGTATTTTGCAACATGTATCTGCTCGGAGTGCTCAAGAGCCACCCCATCGCTTTTATTTTAATGCGGAAAATGATATTTGGCTGCGTTCGATCAAACATGGAGAAAAACTTACCGAAACATAAGGGTGATCTGTCCGTAGACTTTGCGATTGTCCACAAAGTCAGGGTCGATTAGTAAGACGCCGGTAAGTCGGTCGATTCGGCCATGTGAAACCACTAGGTCGCGGGAACCCAAGTACATGGTAAGTTTGCTGTTTGGCGATGATTTCTTGAACACCCTGTAAAAAAGAAAAACAATGTTAAAGCTCTTTCTTTGCAGTCTGAGCCCCAGCTAATGCACTCAGCTAAAAGGGGATATATTTTCAATATTCAGCGGCTTTGGATGCAACTTTCCGATTTTCCACTAAGACTTTCAACAACATCAAAGTGGAATTATTCATTTGAAGCCCGAATCGACTAGAACAAGCTTTTCTTAGGAGTAATGAGAATTAGTGTCAGTTTTCCAATGCCGTATTTTGGAATTATTGCTTAGTGAGCCGCACGGGGATTTTACAGGAAAATTCAGTAATCATGATTTTAGAAGGTTTCATTTAAAAATCAACTTTCCTTTCCAACACAAAACGGCAGAGGGAAAATTCGTGACGAAGGGTTGCAACGTTGTCGCAAATACTTTCGAAAGTCCATTAAATCCTCTTACTGGGATCGATTTTTCGGTTGTATCTCGAACCTAATTTAACTTATTAAATTCAGTTCTGCCTGCCTACCCGAAAAAAATGGAAAAGAGATAATTAGAAATTTCGACTGAAGGCGCCAAAGTTGCTTATTTTCCTGGGCAAATGTCCAACAGGAAATTTTCTATAAAGAAATGAGCTTTATTCGGTAATTCGCTTTCCTCGCTGATTAAAACAGACGGGGCAAAAGGAGGAAAATCGCCATTTGATTGTATAATAGTCTGTTTCATGAATAATTCATGTTTGCTGACGGATAATGAGAATATATGAGTTGATTAGGATTTTCCGCTGCTTCAACAACCGTTTTTCTGACAGAATTCGCCAATGGAAAGCTTTCAAATAGATAATAGATGCAGTAGTTTCCAGAAGGATTTTCGGAGATATGCATACAAATGACTTTAATTTTTAATGCAAACCTGACGAGACTGGGCTGTGCAAAATCCCATATCTACACCAAAACGCGTCGAGACCAATCGATTTCCATAAATAACTGAGCAACATTTTCAGTGCAAAAATTCATTTCCACCACAACTTTCCCAATTCCCTTGACTGTTGCTGTCTGAATTTCGCATTTTCGGCAGTTGCAATTAACCCTTACTTGTTCGAAATATTGCAAATTGAGAAACAATCCCTGAGTCCGATTAAAGTATGTAAATTTCACTTTTTGCCCAACGGATTGCGAATCAATAAGCAAAATTCCAAATTGATTATCGAAGCGACTTAATTCTTGGTGCCGAGACGAAATTGAAATTAACGGTAAATGTAAACAGTGAAAAGCTGTAGCAATAAAAAAACTGAACGCAGACCAAAGGCGGCTGATTATTCGCTGTTTACGTTTGTTTTTCCCTTCTTCAAACAGAATGATTTATTTTCGCTTTAGTATTAATCACGCTCGAATAAATGCTGTCCAATTAAACCAACCGATATTAAACGGGGACTTAGAGAAAAACTAAATGCGATTTTTGCGCGATCAAACTGAATTTTCCGAACAAATCTCCCTAATTCCACGAATTTTTCTACATCTCTTATGTATGCTTCAATTTAGTGTTTCCATATGAAAACATTTCAAAGGCAGACATTTTGGAGACTTGCTCAATTTTTAATGCCAAAGAAGATTAGTTCTGGATGAACAGCAAAAACTTTTCCGTTCTTTTATTAAAACTGATTTTTGCAGACAGATTTTAGATCGTTGATCCACACAAATGGCAGGAACAAATTTGCTTTCGAGCCCCATTTTATTTGCGTACATTTCCGACATACTGCACCAAAGCCTTTTTGATCCGGCTGCAGGATTTTAATTGAACAATGACCAACATCTAATTTAGCTCTTCTGATAATATCAGCCTACCAATTACCAATAATGGTTTACCGGAACACGTGTGCGACCTTTACTCAGTCGATTTTTGGTGCGAAAATTTAATTTAAGTTAAAGCGCATTGAAGGGGGCTTAAGGCAATATTGAGATTTGTGTGGGTTCGGTTTCATTAATAAACGTGCACTGGGTGAATGGATTTTATTCCATCAACATTAAAAAAACTTCACTATCTCTGCTTTAGACCTCACAAAGGATTTGTTGGAGTGAAAGCAGGCAGAGCCATAAACCTGTGTATTGGAAAAAGATAGATTACGGGTTGATTCTATTCAAATATTGTTGTTCGTCTCGTTCCAACACGCGCATTGGGTAAACTGCCTTATTTGATGTATGGCCGGATTGGATCGTTTGGAAATTTTACGATAATTACATATTTTATTATGGCACTCTAGCTGGCAAATGGGACAGTTTGTTCGATGAAAAATCGCCAAAGTCATATCCAAATAGTGCGGCAATAATTGGGCTGAACCGTTTACGAACCGGTAGTCCTGTTTTATGTGACAATAACGCTACAATCGACCCATTTGGAATTTTGAACACGCTGCCCAGCTCATTTCATTTTGGAGAATGAGAAAGATAAACGGCCATTCGACACGAACATGTTATTGCAGTTTTATATAACCAGAAGATCGATACATCATCAGAAGTGGTAATTGAGGACATGAGATCAAGTCCTATCGATCCGGAAAGACGGACAATTTTTTACAACAAAACTCCTCGTTTGTGAGTTTTACAAATAAATGTCCAGGCGAGATGCGAGTTTGTAAAGTATGGACGAGCTTTTAATCCGAAATAAATGGAAACATACAGAACGGGATAAATAAAACCGAGCTGGATTAAAACGCTCCAAAACTTTTTCAGTCATTTGTTGGATTTACGGTTTGGTTGGTTTAGGTTTTTTAACTGCATTGTTCTCGACTCCATTGCAGGATCCTGATGGTTTACGTATGTAGATACAGGGTGCTCTTAAACACATTTCAAGGTTCCTTTAAATGATGAAAAATACAATTTCTGTTCCATTGAACGTCTCTTTTTGTTCACACAACAAGAGGAACAAGAGAACAATTTTATCCACTTATCGCGGCGGGTAAATTTAAATTCCATCAAACCCTCCAAGTTTCTATACACAAATGAATTTTCTTGCAAATTCAACTTTTCGCCCTATTTAACGTTCATCGAAAATAATTTCAGATTTAGGAAAGCTTTAGTAGGAGAATATGTTATCATGGCACGACAAAAAAAGAGCGTTTCTGCTAATTTACCTTCAAGTGTTCATTAGAAGAGTTTTTAATGCCTTGTACACTTTCTCTTCTCATTTAGGCGGTAGCAGATAAATTTATTTTCTAGTAAATTATCCAACTTTTGCAACTTCAACTTTCTACTTTATTTTATGTCAATCGACCACTTATAATATAAAATCCAGCAAAGGTTCAGGAACCAAATAATTCATAAAAAAGGATTTTACAGCATTTCTGATAATTTATCTTCAAGTCTTCATCAGAAGAGATTTTAAATAAAAGACTTGTTTTTGTCTTGCCCACTTTCATCACTGTCTTTTGGCGGTTGCGGATAGGTAAATGTATTTTCCATTACTTATCCAACTTTACAAACAAGCAAGATTTTAGAGACGAATGAAGCTTGTTGCGACTTCAACTTCACTATTTTAAGTTCATCGAACATATTTTGAGATTTAGCGAAGGTTTAGGAACCATCCTGTATACGCGTTAGTTGCATTACATGTAAAAGGGATTTTAGCGTGTTTTCTCATTATTTACCTTCAAGTAACAAGTACAATAGTTTCTAAACGAAAAACTCAAGTTTTCTGCATTGACTGGCAGTTAATCTGCGAGTTAAGTTCTGTCTTAGAACCACCCTGTTAAGGCGTTCTTGCACATGACCAGAACTTTTCTATTTAGGCCTATCAGAAAGAACCGCCTTCATAAGTCGGTGCAAGCAATAAGAGACCAGCCAGCAACGAATTGTATTTCAGAATGGAAAATGTTAGATAATTTTACGTTCCTGCAGGTACGTCCCATGAGTGCGAACAGCCAATCAAGTCCATTTTCGGGACTGAATCTGGGATTTATCGTACGCAAAATAGGCAGCAACTATTTTCGACGGAGGTTTTTACTTGGCCTTCATTTTTATTAATTCAATGCTAAACTCTGATGAGTGATTCACTTACCTTTGCGAGCTTAGGTTTGAATCAGGGTTTTTCAGATCCGGTGCGGCTGAATCACTGAAAAAAAGGACCATTTAATCATTATTAAAACATTTTCATGACTTTGTGCAGGTGGAGCAGCAATTTCAAGCAAAAATACTAGTCAAATACAATTACCTTTCAGGAGCAGTGCTAGGACCAGGCTCAGAAGCCGACTGTTCCTCAGCTTCCATCGTCATCCTGCTCACTCAGCTAACCTCAGCACTAACTTAGCAGCTTATCCCGTCACTTCCAGGCATCAACCCCAAATTGCCTTGCAGCGTTGAACCAAGACATTGCGTTGATCTACAGAAACATCTGCAAAAGAGCATTAAGAATTTTAAATAAACGCGCCTAAGAAATGCATGGAAAATGCTCAGAACTGCCAGACGAATTTGGGAACTTTCCATCAACAAATTCCGATTATGGCAAATAATGTAACAAGCTCGCTCAAAAGGCGAATCAATTAATGTGGCAGCTTCGTTAAAGGTCAGCGCACATTCATGATGTGTAGCTGATAAAGGGTTACCCATGTTTCTGTCTTCGACATAACTCAATCGAGGGCCGCTTTGCCGAAATAAAGCTGAAAATCAAATGAAATTCCCTCCTAAGCTGCGGTTCGGTTTGAGGAGAAACTCAAAAAAATGTACCTATCGGCCTGGAGGGTTGCTCAGCTTTGAAACGGACTTCAAATAGACTATTGCCAATTAAACGTTTTTCAACATTTTAAACAAAACTGAAACGAAAATTGCCATTTTTCATTAACGCAAACAGCTTTTAAAGTGATTGGCTGCAATTTTATTTAAGTTTAAGTAATTATAAGGAGAGCTTGATGAACACGAGCGATTTTTTTGCAGATTTAGCGAGCAATTAAAAATTAAATTTTAATACACCCACGAGGAGGATTCTGGACTGAAATTTGCCAATTCCAGAATAAGGACGAAGTTTCGGCATTACAAAACCTTCGAACTATCTAATTGGGTGCTGTGGAGGGCCGCAACAGCCAATTGATTTTCACTTTGGCAAGCAGCTTATTTCCATATTGACCGCATGGGGTAGAATTAATCCTAAATCGAATATGTGAGCATAGAACAAGGATTGTGTGGGGAAAATTCGGTGATAATCGAAGCGGCCAATTTTATTTGAAATTGCATTTAGTGTAGGCTAATGCAACTTTAGCGATTTAAATGGTATTGATTGATTAGAACCATTTTGTTCTAGGAGCTGTGCCAAACAATATACTGTTAAAAGCATTGTTTTTCCAACAAACAGATAGGTACATTTGCATTTATTAAATTATTTTGTATTTAAGCCGATTTCAAATCTAAACAGGTTTTAATGCAGCATTAACAATCAATTCTGGATTACTGCACGCAACCTACTGAATCCCCCTAGTTAAATTGATGTGAAATAAATCCATATTAATTTAATTTGAATTGGTTTGGATACAATTGGGTTTCGAATTGTTTTTGCATTATTCCACTGAAAATATGAACTTTCCGTTTTTTACCACCATCTGTAGATATTGAATATTTAATGCCAAGCGCCGAAGACGATTTAAAGTTTTGCAATTGCACACAAAATACAAATCCGCCTAAAACCCCTTCTGATTACACTACTTCCAATCTGAAGATCTACCCGTATGTTTTCTAGAGGAGTTAATGTTTTATTAAAACACACTGACAGCGTCTAGGCGCTTAAGTGAGTTCAGATCCTCCTCAATTAAATTCCAAACTCGCGAATGTGAGGCGTGCGAGAAACCTGGCGCACTTTCAAACACCGCCAAGGAAAATTCGATTTCTTATTGCGCTCTGGAAACGGGATTATCACTAAAACCGCCAATTAAAGACTCAGATTGAACGTTCCAAGGGATCTTTGCGGATGTGAGGGATTTAAGAGCAGTTTAATTTGAACTAATGTGTTATTGGTACAAGATGTTCCAGGGGGTTTTTTCGGAAATTTGTTTGAAGATTTTGGGGGATTAGTGGTTTATTGGCAATTTTGGCCCAATTACATTGAGCTGAAATTGGTCTATTACCTACAAACAAGGAAAAGAATAGACTAGTTTAGGAAGGCTAGACAAGGCAAAATATCACTGGCAAATACAACTGAACTTTTAGTTTTCATTTTTTTTTCAATTTAGTAAAAGCAATTTAGTTGCCTTTAAATATTGCACGCGAATATCCTTTTAATTAGCGACATTAAGCGCCACGGGCACTGACTAAATGTGCACCCAAATGCCGGCTTGCAACTTCGAAAGCCTCCAAATCGTTGCGCCTAACAAAGAAAGCTGTTTTACCAATTGCCGCACGTTTTTTTAAGTTCGTTTCTAATCACAATTTTTGCTTTGAGTTACATTCGTTATTGATAAATTGAACTTTGGAGTTTGATTTTTATTTTCTCCCGAAATTTAGGGAAATCGATAGTAGACATAAAAATAATTTGAATGAACCGCAAGCTCCACGTGCAGTTACTAAATGTTCACTCAAAAGCACTTTAATGGTATTAAAATAATGGTCTGAGCGTGTTCAAGATTGTTCGAACATTTCGCTCTCTTTTTGATTTGCGTCTGCAGAATAGTCCGAGTCGACCGAATACGCCACGTGCGCTGACTAAACATACACTGAAAAGTCATGGATTTTTGTTTTTTTTTAAAGCGACCAGGAATAATTGAAACGTTTCTAGATATTACACAATAAATTTATCAGCGTAGTAACGCCAAGTTGCCGCTCTCTGAGTTAATGAGTTATCACATTGGTTAATGAGTTATAACTCATTAACGATGATAAATTTTAAAAAATTTCAGAGCTATGAGGATGACGAGTTTTCCAAATATTGATTTTTATAGCGTTTATTTGCAAACCTAAATTACTTTTTGTCGAATTGTCGAATTTTGTCGAAAAAATACAAGATAACTATGTTTCGATTTTGTCCAAATTCAAAGGTAAAACGGGTATTCGAAAAAGTCGATAAAGAAGACCAAACTGTAAAAACGATGACTTTTCTTGTAAAATCCATCCAACTTTTAACTTTTTCGCATAAAAGACTCTCAGTTTGCCAGTATTTTACAGTAAAACGTTAGGAAAAACGCGTGGTTCTGTTTAGAAATATTGACCTAAAAGTGAAGAAACCGGAATTCAAATGAACCAAATTATTAACAGCCACTAAAGTAACGAGTTTGCCGAATAATTGATTAAAAACTTTCACTTGTTCTGTTCGGGGAAATATTTTTGGGAAAAAATCTACGAAAAATTATTATAGTTTTGTCAAAAATTTGAAGCTGCAAAAGGTTCAAGAAAAAAATTTACAAAGCTGTTCAAGAGCCGAGTGTGTAATCTAATCAACTGCCGCTGCAGCCAGTATATTCACAATCAAATTTCCTAATCAATTCTTTATTTAGATCTGTACATATTTCCATTCTGTATAGACGTGATAATTAAAGAGCCATAATTAATGAACATTTTTTTACTAAGGCCCGCACGTTGCAGTCCATGAGTTTGAGACTAATCCTACGAAAGCAATGACGAATTGAAAATCGAGTAAACATCATTAAATTGCTTGACTAAAACTTAAATAAAATTGCTACACAAAAAATAAATACTGTTTTCAAAGTAGAAAAATCAACGTTTCGAGGGCGTTAATGAAGCGAGAACACTTTCCAACAGGGAAATTAGGAATCGACGTCAAACTCTGCCGCCATGTTGAAACTTTTGAAGAACAAATTTCACATTTCATCATTGGCGGTTAATTGATTTACCTCGGGCCGGCGCCGCTTTTTTCCTTTTCAATGGAGAACATTTTTTCACTTTCATTCTGTTTTTTTTTTACTTTCTCCCGATATCGTCTGAGTGAATGGGAATTCAACTACGAGTTGAAAGCAGTTGCTCAAGTGAAAAAAAAAACATCAAACTAGAACCGCTCTAATAAAGCACTTATCCTTTTAAGCACATATATCTTGCTCAAGAACCTCAAGTTCGACCACGTAATTTCCGCACAACACTCCAAAGTTCATTTCACACGTAGTGCACACAAGATGAAGGTATTTTGAGGGGCTGTGGGTGGTTTACATTTCTTATGTGAATTGCCGATGGATTCCCCTTGGGGCTAAAACGAGGACAGCATAATGGCGAATCCTAGTTGCGAGCAAACTTTGGAGGCAATCGAGTTTGAAAACAATAACGCCTTCATCTTGTCGGCGGCTCGAAGTAATGCTTGTTGTTGCAGTTTGGGCTTTTGCGGTGGTAAATATTAACTAACCTGGGTCGGATGTTGAATGATTAAAACACCCAAAAGTTTGAAAGTTGTTTGTTTTTTCAATTCCTTAAACTACAAGCTTCATTTTATCATTTTTGAAATATTTTAGAAATATTCAAAAGGGGACAAAGGAAGCACAAATTTTTATCAAAGATCCCTAAATAATCATAGATTAAAACGCCCCATTCATACACCTATTTTTACCATTTGCAGTGAGTATGACGGGCAAACCCCGATTATTTCTAAGTCGTTTCATAAATAATTAAATTCAAAAGTGTTTTTAAATGAGAAAATTAAATTATCACTGAAAGAAACACTGAATTTTAATTTCGTGCTAAAACACAGAAATTCAAGTTAAATAGCCGCTAGTTTAGAAATGATTTTCCTTTTTGAGTGCCAGTCAAGAGCAGCGAAACTTTTCCCCGCATTCTCACTTGATCCAACAATGTCGGACATTCCATTAAAGTGCGGCTTTTTAGAAAGCAAATTACAATACCACTGCAGTGGAAGCTTTTCTGACGGCTCCTTATTGGATAAAGTGAAATAAAGAAGAAACAGCTGCATTTAACACTGTCGTTGTCTCAAGTTGCTTAGCGCGAGTTTCCAACTTTCCTACGCTACGCCAATCTACATACTTACAAGCAACTCCCACATAAATAAGTGAAATCGAAACTGGCAAAACCGCTAGAATTCGGCGAATTTAACAGGGAAAACTTCCCGCGCGTCTACGATATCCAGCCTAGAACGAGAACGTTCAGCTATACGAGCTGTAGCTGTGGTTGTTCCAGACTGACTGGAAACGGTGGGCCCGCCTGGAAATTCAGATGTTCCAGAGTGAGTCCAGACGACAACCTGTAGTGTGCAATGCGTTTGATCACCAGCGTTGCTCTCATGTTTTACGGCCGATATAAAATTTAAGCACACCTACAGGACGTTGCTTGGTTGTCCGGAAAGTCTGCTGGGAAATTAGCCGGATTATTAACTGGATGAGTGGATGCGAAAAAACAAGCGTTTATGGAGAAAGTTAAAAGCAGCAGAATGTTAACTAAAACCGCTTTAAAAGCATCTGGGATATACCGGGTACTTCGAATTCTACATCTTTTATATCCCGAGAAAGCGAAAAATCCGATATACTCGTCGCAAAACACGCTATAACGTTCAGATCCGGAATAATCCACATTTTGTGCCATTTTAAAGGTTTTTGAACATTCACGATATTTTCTTTATTATAGAACCAAACACTTTATATATGCAATAGGGAAAACGACATTTTAGGCCCATTTTATGTGTTTTTTGAGCATTTGCTAATTTTAACAAACGATAGTTTTCTTACTATAGAATCAAACACTTTATATTGAGGAGTTTCTTATGTCGAAAGCAATCCATTGAGCTGAGAAAACACGCATGTGAAATTTTGATTATTGACCGAAAATTTCAAAAGGGGTAGAGGTCGATGTTTACAAAAATTCTGAATTTCCTCGAAATAACTCACATTCTGCATCATTTTCATCTTATTGAAGCGAGAAACCTAATGTGATCATTGAAAAACTAACTGGACGCTTCAGGTCTGAAATAATCAATATTTTTGGTGCAGTTTACCTAACCGTTTTCTGTGGGCGCATGATTTTTAACCGTGATATGCATTTTTCGTGACTACTTAACAATTTCTTGACCAATACAAGAGCAAGGTCAATTCTCTATCCAACGGTGCCAAAACAAATTCTCTAGCTCGAATGGTTCTTGAGAAACCTCGAAAGAAACAGCGTCATATTCAAGTGGATTTTGCAACTCAAAAAAAAAACCACGCAAATCTAAAACTTCTTGAATTCAAGTCTTTTTTGAGAAAACTGCCAACATTTCCCCATCCATGGTTCACTTTCGAAAAAGGCCATTTATTTCTGTTTAGAATGATGAACAAATGAGCGTTCTTGCTCATTTTGCCTCCGAGAAATGAGCAAAAACGGAACGGAAAACATGAAATTTTGGCATAATCTTGAACCCAAGTGTTTGATATTCAAATTTCGCTTTCTGGGTCAAAACTACTGGAATTTCCTCATTAACGTTGTTACGACTGAATCGACGTTTCAATTCTCTATTCAACGATGCCAAAACGAATTCTGTGGCTCGAATGGTTCTTGAGAAACTTCGAATAAAGGCCATTTAGTTATCTCTGGAAT